TTGTGTGTGTGTGTGTGTAGGATCCTGTCTTGTCTGATGGAGCATCTGTACACTGATAAGATGGTTGAAGACTGTGAACACAGATTGCTAGAGCTGCAGTACTTCATCTCCAGAGACTGGAAGTGAGTCACGAAACTCACAAGAGTTTTTCTGCCTTTAGGTTTCATTCCACACTTTTAATTTTGACAATCCTGTTTATAAATCTTTTGAATGACACACTTCAGGTTCTTCCTTATTCCTTATTTTATTTTTGTTATTTGTTTCTGTTGTTGTTTTTTGTTTATTTGCCATTAGATCTTTTGTTACTTTTTTTGCTTTTTGTTTTTGTTTGTTTTTTTTATTATTTTAGTTTAGTTTTTTTGTTATTTGTTTTTTTTTTTTTTATTTGCTTGCTTTTTGTTTTTTATGTCTTTTTTTTTTTAGTTATTAGATTTTTTGTTTGATTAGTTTAGTTTTTTGTTTTGTTGAGCAGGTCAACAGTACTGTCACAGCAAGGTTCATTTTGTGTTCGATAATGATCTTAAAAACCTGAGATTTGTTTCTCTGATTCTCTTTAACCGAGACCCTGTCAGCAAACAGCTTTGAAAGTTCCTGTTCATGTGTCTGTTGGGGCTAAATGTAAGTTCATGTTCAAACATTTCCCTGTGCTTCTGGTTACAGACTGGACCCTATCCTGTACAAAAAGTGTCAGAACGATGCGGCCCGCATCTGTCACACTCACGGCTGGAACGAAACCAGCGAGTTCATGCCTCCCGGAGCCGTTTTCTCCTGTCTGTACCGGCACGCTTACCGCACCGAGATGCAGGGACGACGGGTACGACTGACACTCACTGAACACCCTCATGTTACACTTCTGCATTGTGAGTTATCAGAAAATAGGACATTGAGAAACTATAGCTTATCTGAGGCTTCCTAAATGTAACTGTAGGGTTCATCAGAAACTTCTGAAGTGAGTTTGAATGTAAGTATCCTCTGGTTCCTTAAAGAGGGGAATCTCACAAACCTGTCAAAAACACGACTAAGCTGCATTTCACCTCGGAAACAAAAGGAGAAATCAGTTATTTAGCACGCAAACAGTTTTTACTATTAACATTTTATGCATTGTTACATTATTTTTATGTAAAATAAGCAACCTCCCTCAATTATCATTACCTTAATTCAGTAATAAAATAATATATATTAAATAAATAATTCACAAGTCAAATTATATATTTTTAGTTTTATTTACAAGTGTTTAGTACTAGTTAACTAGTATTTATTTGTACTTATTTGTCATACATTTTTTATTATAAACGGCATAAATTGTTGTCACAGTGCAGAAAATCTTAATGGTCTCTAAATGGAATTCAAGCAAAGCATATATATATTTTAGTTATATATCTTAGTTGGTTTTTGCTGTGAAATATGACTCGGTTATGTTCCTGACAGGTCTGGTGACGTTCACTCTAAGAGTAAATGTGATCAAGCTACAAATGCATGTTCTCAGCAAACTAGCAGGGACGAATCAAAATCACCTTCCTTTGCCGAGACTGAAATCACATTAATTCATGCTGCGGGCTTTAAATGAGTAATGATTGACAGGAAATGAACTCGGATGATGTGGGTCTTGGGAGTTTTTTTACAGACTATTCTAAAAATAGACATTCTTGTGTAACGTTTATGGTAATGGTATCAAATTTCATGACACCCGTCAAACACGTGCACACAGATCGCTGTTTGTAGAAGGATCCAGAACTGTGTGTGCGTGCGTGTCTGATTGATTGGTTGTGAGTCTGTTTGTTTGCGTTAGGTGTGTGTGTGTGTGTGTGTGCGTGCGTGCGTGTATGTGCTAATGCGTCTGAGTCGATCTGCAGTTATCTCGGGACTGTAAGACGGAGGTGCAGAGGATCCTCCACCAGAGGGCTCTGGATGTGAAACTGGATCCGGAGCTGCAGCAGCGATGCATGACAGACCTCGGGAAGTGGTGCAGTGAGAAGACTGAAGCTGGACAGGTCAGTATATGAGATCACACTAATTATAACCGTCACTTTCCATTGGTTACATGCAATTAAAACATTTTTCTTTAAAATTATCTGTGCTTTTGTTTTTTGTTCATTTTATGAGGTTTACGAACTTTGCAACCTTGTTACTAAAATGTAGGACTTGTTTAAATATGACTTAATTGTGTTTTTTTTTTCCTATGGCCGCCCTAAGGGTTACTATAGTAAACTAAAACTGAAACCGTTAAAAACATGTAATAAAATGAAACTTGAACTGAACAAATATTAAATATGAGTATAAAAAACTCATTTTATTTCAGCTAATTTCTCATTTTTATTTAGTCTAACTTTGTGTACTAAACTAAAACTGAAATAAAAAATAATTGTATAGACTTTAAAAAAGAAATATAAATGGTGAAAAACTAAAATTAATTAAATTATAAAATTGTCAAATTTAGAGCCCGACCGATATATCGTTTTGCCGATATCATCGGCCGATATGAGCCTGTCGCCGATATATCGGTATCGGCGAATATGCCGCCGATATGAAATTTTTTTTTTTACAGAACATATAATGCAGATAAAATGCTTGAAATGGTGTAATTACTTAGTTTGTCCAGCAGAGCGCACTCTATTGTTTGCTACTGGCGACCTGGATGAAACGCTCAGTGTTACAACGTGCCCCATCTGCGCAACTGGAATTTAAAACTGGTTAGTGTCTTCTGCTAGTAATCAAAGCATTAAAAAAAACTATCTGAACTGATAAATAACAGATTGGAGATTAAAATAATAGCAGATTTGTCTCATTTTAAATGAATAATAAAAACTGAGATAAAAAAAAATTACTTAAGCCAGAATTTAAATTTTACTATGGTAAAATAAATATTCAAACCACGTGTGTTACAACTAACACCCCGTTACTTTGTGCATCGCACTCATCGCAAGTTTATTGTTAAATTGTTAAATGCCCTTACATATCTCTGTCACCATTATAAGTGTTTGATCAACACATTTGAGTGATCATTGCAAAAAATGTGTTTATGTATATATATTCTGTTTATGTATAAACTGTATTCTATATATAGTACCAGTCAAATGTTTGGACCCTCGAATGGGAAAGTGTCCAAACTTTTGACTGGTACTGTACTATAATATACACAAAGAATATCGGCCGATATATGCGTGTATCGGCTTTTGTTTTATTCTCTAATATCGGTATCGGCCCCAAAAAACCCATATCGGTCGGGCTCTAGTCAAATTCATATAAATTATACAAAAATAAGAATAAAAATAAAGTTAAAAAAGTTATATTTCCAAATAATAAAAACTAATAAAATCTCACTGATAGTAAAATAGCACTGTCTGTCACCTTCCATGTACGGTATACAATTTAGTTTTTTTTCTTACAAATGGACAGTTTTGTTTTCTGTTCATTTTGAGGTTTACCATGTTTGCAACCCTGTTACTAACTTTTAGGATGTCTAAATAAACTTTAAAAACTCGTTTGTTTTCTTTTCTTTTTCTTTTCTTTGTAATTTTCTAGCAAATAACATTTAATAAACATCAAACTTAAAGGGTTAGTTTACCCAAAAATGAAAATTCTGTCATTAGTTACTCACCCTCATGTCGTTCCAAACCGGTCTTACTTTTGCGCTAAGAAAACACAAATAACGACTTTATTCCACATTTTCGTCTCTACTGCGTCACTTATGGATGTGCGTTCACGACAGTATCATGACGCGAGCGTGGGTCAGCACCGCCAGCCACACGCTTGCGTCATGGTACTGTCGTGTAAAAAGTATTCTCGTAGCTTCGTAACGACACGAGGGTGAGTGATTTTTCGGTGAACTACCCCTTTAAATATACATTTGGACACATAAGTAATCAATTTTTATAAGAACAAACAGAAAACTACACCGGAATGGGTAACAGGGTTGCAAGTAAAGCTTCATATCCTAAATTAAGCTGTCACTCAACAGAGACTGTAGTACTTATTGAACGTGCATTTCCGTAAATTAAAGAAAAAATATTAGATTGATTTTATTTTATTTTTTTTTTATAACTCCAGTAACAGGATTGAATGGTTGAGATTGGTGAATGCTGTCAACACTACAATATTTGTACAAGATTTTCTACAAAATTTGTCTTTTTGCCCTGGTTCAGGAAGAATCCAGTGATGTTTACTTCCTGTGGGTCACAATTTTAAGAAATGTAAATTCTTTTAAATTTAAGAATGTAATTCTCAAATTCTAATGTAAATTTAAGAAATGTGGTAAGGTAACAGGATTGAGCACAACATGGGTGACGTGGCTAATTATTACCACAGTAATATTTAATAATGCAAATTATTTTAAAGGTTTTTGTTTTAATTGTTTGTGTGTTTGTGTTTTAAATGTAAGTTTTTAATATTAAAAGTTTACTAAGTTTTTTTTATTTATTTTTTTATTTAATTGTTGGACACAGTTAAGAAGGTCAGCTTCTGAAATGGCCGTGGTTAATTTTATGTTAGATAATGATTTCGAAAACATGAGATTTGTGCCTGTGATGCTTAACAAAAAGTCTTGGAACAACAACAAATGTTTCATATGAAATGTTTGAATTTGCAAAGGAATTCCCAGTGATGCATTGCTCAATGTTTGTGTGTGTTTGTCTGTCAGGAACTGGAGTGCTTACAGTATCATTTAGATGATCTGGTCTCTAACTGCAGGGATGTGGTGGGAAACCTCACAGAATTGGAGTCGGAGGTACAAAAAAAAAAAATGCTTTTGTGATTTTTACAGCAGTTTGACTCTGAAATTAAAAAGCCTCGGTGTCTATGTTTGGGTGCTATTGTTCTCTGCTGGACGTGAGGCGTCTGGGGTGGGTTTGGACTGATTTTGGTGCGTCTGGTTTTCCAGGACATTCAGATCGAGGCCTTGTTGATTCGAGCCTGTGAGCCTGTGATCCAGTCCTACTGTCACGTAAGTTGCAAATAATTTTTTCATAACTTAAACTATATAATAAATACACGAAGTAGCTTGTTTTCTTTTCTTTTTTCATTTGTCCTCTCTATTTGCCTGTGTTTGTTTTGCAGGAGGTGGCCGATAATCAGATAGACACAGGGGACCTGATGGAGTGCCTCGTTGCCAATAAGCACCAGAAGGAAATGAACGAGAAATGCGCCGTTGGAGTCACACACTTCCAGCTGGTACGTCTGACGAATACACACTCGCTCCTCCTACGGTTACTACTGTTGTGTCTCAACCGTCCGTTTCTCCTCCTCATCCTCAGATCCAGATGAAGGACTTTCGCTTCTCGTACAAGTTCAAGATGGCGTGCAAGGAGGACGTGCTCAAACTGTGCCCCAACATCAAAAAGAAGTGAGCGCGTGGCTGTCACGCAAAGCAAATGTTTCATAACTGGTTTCATACATTTTACATTATCGTTAGGGTTGAGCGCTATTTATCCTCAAGAATAATATTGCAAATGTTGTTTTAATGATGAATGCAGTTACAATGCCCATATAATTCCAGTTTTGGTTTTTGTATTTATAAGATATGATGTAGTTAAGCAATAGAGTGTGGTTTTCCCTATTATCAGCACATGAGCACGATCGCATGTTTAGACACAAAATTGTCTTGGTGTTTTTTTTTTTTTTTGGTTTCACTGACGAAAATAGTTTCAATCAAAGCCGGAGCAGAACGTTTGTGCGTCTTGGAGCAACACTGCGGTGTTTAATTCCTAAATGAAATCATTTGAGTCAACGATTCATCCATTCATTAAAGGGATAGTTCACCCAAAAATGAAAATTATCACATAAATTACTCACCCTCGAGGCATCCTAGGTGTATATGACTTTCTTCTTTCAGACGAATCCAGTCGGAGTTATATTAAAAATTGTTGAAAAAAAGTTGTTAAAAAAAAGCTGTTTAATGGCACTCAGCGGGTTTCACCCCCCGGAGCTGTGTGAGGCACTTTTTATTATGGATGGATTCGTTTTATTTCACTTCTTTTGGACTGATGCATGCAACACCCGCTGACTGCCATTAAACAGCTTGGAAGATCAAAGACAATTTTTAATATAACTCAGACTGGATTCGTCTGAAAGAAGAAAGTCATATACACCCTAGGATGCCTCGAGGAGAGTAATTAATGGGCTAATTTTCATTTTTGGGTGAACTAACCCTTTAAGACAGTCGTTTGCGTTGTTTCTAAATGAATGATTCAATGAATCACTCATTAAGACATGGACTTGTCGCCACCTACTGGCTGTTTTAGTGTCATATTTATTTATCTATGACAGGCCTAAACCAGCCAAGAAAAAAAAAAATAATGTGAGATTGGCTACAACTACTACATTTACGAAAGCTCCTCTAGAGGTAATGTAGAGTATGATGGGAAGGTTTTGATGGTCTGTTTGCTCTTAGGGTGGATGTGGTGATCTGTCTGAGTACCACAGTAAGGAACGACACTTTACAGGAAGGCAGAGAGCAGCGAGTTTCAATGAAGTGTCGTAAACAGCTCAGAGTGGAAGAGCTGGAGATGGTCAGTACATCAAATCGATCTAAAATGTATTTAAATGAGTCTAATCATTTGTAGTGTACTGCGCTATGTTATGTCTTATATCCTGTGATCTGAGATGTGTCGGTGTGTGTCGTGCAGTCTGAGGACATTCGTCTGGAGCCGGATCTGTACGAGAGCTGTCGGCAGGACATCAAGCAGCACTGTCAGAACGTGGTGTTTGGAAACGCTCAGGTAAATTCAGATGAGCTGGCTCTCTAATCCTCCGTTTGACTGTGAGGATCTGCTCATCTGTGTGTTTGTGCTTGTTCAGGTGATCGAGTGTCTGAAGGAAAACAAGAAGCGGCTGACCCAGCACTGCCATCAGAAAGTCTTCAAACTGCAGGAGACTGAAATGATGGACCCAGAACTCGACTTCCAGCTCATGAGAGTCTGCAAGCAGATGATCCGGGTGTGAAACCTCGTCAATTACATCTGAAAAGACCCCAGAATTTAATGATGGCTTGAAATTGTTTGATTAATCTATATAAAGTATTGAAGAACTTTTTCTTTTCTTCATTATACAGCGTTTCTGCAGTGACACAGATGCAAAGAACCTCTTACAGTGTCTCAAACAAAACAAGAACAGCGAACTAATGGATCCGAAATGCAAACAAATGATTACCAAGAGACAGATCACCCAGAACACAGGTACGACCTACGCATCCTAACATAGACGCGCATACATACTCAGGTTTTCTTTAATCACTCACATATTTATCTTTACGATTAGAGTCGGAACACCAACAAATGGGAAGCTTTGTTAATGCAGTAGGCTAATTATGTGTTGTTCCTCTCAGTTAAAGGCAGATGTGTCAGATGTTTTCTTTCAGTGGGTCAATGAAAGGTGTTAAACTCATCCGGACAAACTGTGTATTTATTTAATGAGCTGTTTCACTTATTTAAATGTATTTATTACTTTCAACTAGGGTTGTGACGGTGAGGAAATTTTCGCTCGCTTTCCTTCGCTTTTAAATAGCTTGTAAAAGCGGCGTGCACATTTTACTTTCACTTTGAAATAGCGGCAATTCGGCGTAAAGCAATTGTTCGTTTTTAGTTAGTTTGAATGTTCCTGCATTGAGCAGCCGCGTTCAGTTTTTAATTGTAGTGTCTGTTCTTTTACTGAACTAAATGATTTTTATTAATATAAAAAATCAAAACGACGGTGGGGGTCGGTGCCGCGGTGGGCAAGTGACGTAACCGGTGTTGCGGCTTAACAACGGTATCACCGTCAACACCGTCTATCGCGGCAAGCCTACTTTCAACCCTGTTTATTTATTACTTTCAACCCTGTTACAAAAATTTGGAAGATGTCTTTTACTATTGTTTAAAAACCTAGCAACAACATTTTCTAATACCCATTTTTTTTATTTTCTATTAATAATAAATTAAATATTAATTAAAAAAATTAGACCTTTAAAAAAAATACAATTCTGAAATTGGTAACAGGGTTTTAAGTAACAGGTTTGTAAGTTTTGCTTAAAATAAGCTTTCACTGTATGGGCTTACTAGTTGAAGACTAAATGTTAATTTGTTAATTTAAATTAGGATTTTTTTCAACCCTGTTTGGAATAAATTTGGAAACGGTGTTAATACTGTTTAAAAGCCTAGCAATAAACATTTTCTAGTAAAACAATTTTCTACTAACATCCATTAAATAAATATAAGTGAAATAATCCAACATTTAAAAAAATAATTTTGCTGAAATGAGTAACAGAGTGACAGGATTGTAAATTTTGCCTAAATTACATGTTCTCTCAGCAGGGCCAAACTAGTTTGAGATGAAATGCTGGTTTGTTGTTAATTTAAATTACGATTTTTTTTTTCAACTCTGTTACAAAAAATATATGTCGTCTTGATACTGTTTAAAAACCTAGTAATAAACATTTTCCAGTAACAGTTTTTTCTACTAATATCCATTAAATAAATATAAGTGAAATAATCCAACATTTAAAAAAATATTTTTGCTGAAATGAGTAACAGAGTTGCAAGTGACAGGATTGTAAATTTTGCCTAAATTACATGTTCTCTCAGCAGGGCCAAACTAGTTTGAGATGAAATGCTGGTTTGTTGTTAATTTAAATGACACATTTTTTTTCAACTCTGTTACAAAAAATAGAAGATGTCTTGATACTGTTTAAAAACCTAGTAATAAATATTTTCCAGCAACAGTTTTTTCTACTAATAACTATTAAATCAATATAGCTGAAATAATTTTCAAGATCTAAAATTACGTTTTGCTAAAATGGGTAACAGGGTTATAGGTTTTGCCTAAATTATGCTTTCTCTCAGCAGGAGCTAACCAGTTTGAGACTAAATCTTGGTTTGTAGCGATTAATAAACTTGTATTTCCAATAAATTAAAGGGAAATATTAGCACTTACAAGAACATCAATAACAGGTGTGAATGTAAAAATGTAGAAAATGTAATGAAATTGTAATGTCTTCCCACCATACTTTAGAAAGAGTTGAAATCATTTGATTTAACAATTAATATTTTTGTGCCATTATTGCTATAAAAAGTAATGAGATACAAGTGCCCTATTCGTGTAAAGTCAAAAAACCTGGTTCCATCACTAAAGTTTGATGCTCTTTCCTCCATTCTAGACTACCGTCTGAACCCTGTGCTGAGGAAGGCTTGCAAAGCCGACATCCCAAAGTTCTGCCAGAACGTTCTGAACAATGCCAAAGACGACAACGAGCTGGAGGGGCAGGTCATCTCCTGCCTCAAACTCAAATACGCAGACCAGGTTCGTAACCCTTATCACTGCGAATGCACATAAACCTGCACCTTTACTCCATATAAGAGCGTGTGTTTGTGTCTCCAGCGTCTCTCTCCAGACTGCGAGAGCCAGATCACTGTCATTCTGCAGGAGTCCGCGCTGGACTACAGGCTCGACCCGCAGCTGCAGCTCCAGTGCACTGAGGAGGTAACATTCACTGTCTTAGTATGTCGTACATCAAGATGTTTTGGTCTCAAATGTCCAATAATGGCTGTTTGTCCCAGATCCTGCGGCTCTGTGCGGAGGAAGTAGCGGCGCAGGAGCAGACGGGTCAAGTTGAGGAGTGTTTGAAAATCAACCTGCTGAAGATCAGCCATGAAGGCTGTAAAAAGGTAAGCGCGCTCTGACCTCGATTTGCCGCTGGGTAGTTGCATGGTTCAATTTCTCACAACTCGTCTGACCGGGTGTTCCCGCTGTAGGAGATTCTTAACATACTGAAGGAGAGCAAGGCGGACATCTTTGTGGATCCAGTTCTGCACACAGCATGCGCCCTGGACATCAAGCACCAGTGTGCTGCGATCCCACCGGGGCGAGGAAGACGTAAGTAATTCTGGAAATGATTTTATGCCATTTTGGTAGACTAGATATTAATGACTGCACTCTGTGTTTGTGCAGAGATGTCGTGTCTGATGGAGGCTCTCCAAGATAAGCGTGTGAGACTCCAGCCGGAGTGTAAGAAGAGATTACAGGACCGCATTGACATGTGGAGTTACGCCGCTAAGGTAAACGTTCATCCAATCCCATCGGCCTCCATTCAGAAGCTCAACAGTATTTTCTTCCTTGTTGTTGTTCCAAAACACTAGAGCGATGATTCAAAATTTGGTATTGTAGGTGTGCTGACTACACACATGCTGTTCTAACAAGTAAACAGCGACATTATGCTGCTTTCTAAGATACCTTGTTTTGGCTAAATTCTAAGGAAGAATCGTGTATTTCAGATCTTAATAAATTTGTTTCAATAAACTTATTTAAAAACACTTTTAGCAGACTTGCCAACACGGCTTGAAAATGTTAGATTAAGTTATGTGTTCTGTGTAAATTAATCATGTAACCATTATTATGAAAATTGTGATGGCATTTACCTCAGAGAACAGTCTTCCGATCTTTTTGCATGCAAAAACTTGCGTGCGTAAATTGTCACATTAAATTAAATGCAAAAAATGTATGATTTTGTACAAATCTTACAGAGGTTTCTGCATTTCATTTATTATGAGAATTTGCACAGTATGGTTTCACAAAGTTTATTTTGAAAATGTTTTGTACATTCTCATTCAGTTTGTTTATGTAAGGATGCATGTACAAACTATTTACACTAATCATATGAAAATGGTTGCATATAATCCCAAGTGACAATTACATAAGCGCGATTTTACGAACAAATTAAACAAATATTGTGTTACGCAAATATAAGTTGTTACACTCGATTCAATTTGGAACAATTTGCGGAAAATTGTTACGAACATTGAGCCTCATTCATGAAATATTTAAATATAAATATTTAAAAAGTAAATTTGGAATAATTGTTTTCTGAAGAATTTGCCCAAATCTTACAAAAGTTTCTGCATTTGATTTAGCATGAGAATTTGCATAAGAATGGTTTAAACAAACAATTTATTTAATGTTTTTATAATTTATATGTTTTGTAAATTCTTTTTGTTTTGTAAAGTTTACATAAGGATGGTTGTACGAGCAATTTACACAAATCTTACAAAAAATGCATGACAATTTATTTAAGCATGTTTTTACAAACAAATTACCCACACCTTGCATTAATTCAATGCATTCAAATTGCGCAAGAACCGTTTTTTAAACAATGAGGCTCATTCATGAAATAAATATGGAGTAATTTGCTCATAAAATGAAAAACAATTTTCCAACTCCTCTGCAGGTTCACAAATGCTTCGTAAACCTCATATTTGAGAGTTAAATGTTTCTAAGTTTAAGTTAGTAAATTCCAATCATTTGCATTTAAATTTTTATGAATGAGGCCCAGTTTACATCACATGCATACAATTTACATAGATAATTCTGGAGAATTTTACATTGAAGAATGGTTATGAGCCATTTAAACAATTGCGCTTTTCGAGTTTTCTATACTTTTTGATTAGTTCAGATATAGTTTAAGATTAAAGTTAGGGTAGGCGATTTTGGAGAGGCTAGCAAAAGCAAGCTAGCTTTGAAAGCATAAGATCCCACCCTCCCTGCAAATCCCTCTCCAAAGCCACGCCTCCTCCAAAACCTCGGTCTGCAATAGCTTAATGAACACACTGATAGTGTATCATGTCTGCACGAACAGGGTGTGTGGAGATATGCTAATACATTGACCGGCAGGTAGGGCAGCCTATCGTAGCCTTAAGGTCCGAAATTTTCGTATGCTTTTTTTTTTTTTGTATTCATCCTCCTTTCCTATCAAAATGCTTGCTACAGATGCGAAAAACGCAGAAAATCGAACCTGATCCGAATTTTTTTATAACGGATGAAAGTTTCAGAGGCAGTGTGTAAACTAGGGCTGGGACAATAAATCGATGCATCGCGATTCGTGGATCGATTCTGAGATTTTCGGAATTTTTCGGATTTTCGGGCTGTGTTTACGTTAATGATTCTGAGCTTAGTTTTTAACAGCAGATGGCACTGCGTGCTTTAGAAACAGCCGCATTCTGCTTGCTTCCAGTTCCTTACACACGCACCACTTGAGCCTAAAATAATCATTCATAAAGTTCAAAAAGGTTGAAGCGAATTACAAGGATGTTCACAGTGGGCTGTGTTTACGTTAATCTCACATCATAAAGCATAAAAGCCGATGTGCAAGTACATTTAACCACTTACATTACTCAGCTGAACGCTCAAGCGCTCTTCTTCGTGAGCATCTGAGTGTGCGGCTAAAAACTAACCTAGAGCGCCATCTGCTGTTAAAAACTAAGCTCAGAATCGATTCCAGAGAGAATCACGATGCATTCCGAAAGTCTCAGAATCGATCCACGACTCGCGATGCATCGATTTATTGTCCCAGCCCTAGTGTAAACGTGATTGACACAACGTGAGGTCATATTTATTTTTTTAACGTGCAAAAATTTCGAACTCTGTGTGCAAAGACCTTTAGACCGAGGGAAATTATTGGATGCTTTTGGGATGTGAAGAGACTTTCAACCAGCATAACAAAAAAAAAAACGTTTTTGAACCAAATCACCCACCCTGCCTTTAGCTAGATTTAGTAATGCAATTTGTGCGCATGTAAAGCTGATAAAGTATACGCAAGGAACACTGAATGCAAGTTGCAGGTGATGAAGTTTTCATGAGCACAAGTTCATACTGTTTCTTTGTTGGCAATAGGTGGCGCCAGCGGAAGGTTTCTCGGACTTGGCCGGGCAGGTTTTCACGTCTCCTGCCAAGTCCTACATCCTGAGCATGTTGGCGATGTGCGTGGTCCTGCTCTTCCTCATGGGTCTGCTGTGCGGCCGCATCACCAAACGCGTGACGCAGGAGTTGAAGGACAGGTAAAGAGGAGGTACAGGGCAGGGGAAGTGCCATTCAGCTCCCCCTGCAGGGGCACAAAAGCCCATCGCGCCCCACACGCCGTTCTCCATCCTGGGCCGGGGAAGGACACTGGGGTTGGAAACGCAAACTTGACGGAGGGGGCGGGTGTTTAGACTCGTGCTGTGTGTGCATTTTCGTGGTACCACCGATGGCCACATTGGGACCCAGTTTTAATTGCTACACACACTGTTTTTTTTTTTTTTCTTTTTTTCCCTGACTTGTCCTACATCATCACCTGCTTCTCTGAGTAAACCTGCCTGCTGCGCGCTTTCAAACGCCGACATCCCGGCGCGCCAGACGACGCCAATCAGCTTTCTTCAACTAATATCACAAAGACTTGGTTTTGCTTTCCACCTCAATGTTTTTATTTATTGTTGATGTTCGGATCGCAGGAGGTTCGGCTTTGGGATTTCCTTTCATTTGCAGGGATGGTGTCGCAATTGTTGACGTCCCATGTTTTAGGAAACAGCCAGTTGCTGAAGATTGAACGGATGCGTGTCTGTGCCTTTTTGCCTGTCCGAGTGAGAGAATTTGTTTTGTTTGCGTGTTGGTTTTATCATGGGCTTCTTGTTGATTTTTCTTTGTCACTGGGAACATTCTTTTCACCCATCTTTCTTTGCAGTAGGGGTCATACATATGATTTTTCTGTCATTTGGTTGGTTGATTTGAAGGGAAAGGGTTCTGCATTATGAAGGTTTCACACGTCGTTTGAACTGGTCTTAACTGAGCCACAAGGTTTAGAAAATGGATGATGAAGATCTGAATATCGCCAATCTAAGGGCGACTTGATTCTGGACTACGAGTTCGTATTGATTCACTGGCCGCATTAAGACGTCAAGCTGTTTACATGCTGTTATCGATGCAGTTCCCGATGGCTGTGGTTTGGTCGCGTCGCATCTGAGCTTTGAATGAGTCGTTTGATTTGTGCTTTCATTGTGCCATATTAACAAACCATTCTGTTAGCATATTCAGAGACGTGAACCAAATTCACATTTTTGACGATTTATCCACATGGTAGATGTCATTTTATTACACGGTTATTCGCTTATATCATTGGGTTTCCAGACATCGTATGGACAGTTTTAGGGAAATTATCGGTTTTAAACACTTTCTGTGTTTCGTACACATTTATGAAATAAGCTTCCTTCACAGACGGTCATTCTCTTCTATAACATTGTAAGCTCAGTGCCGTCCATAATCACTACAGATTCCGATTGTTTGCTTTCGCAGCCATTTTTTGGGTTCGTGACGCATTAAGAACCATTAAGAGTTTTTCTAAACAACTCAAGTTATTTTCGACTAAGTTGCTGTTTGACTGGATTTGTAGCTTCTTAATTCTTTACCCCGAAGGCTTTAATGCATAAACCCCCCCGATTTTGTCCCCCGTTCACACTAAATTTTCACTCTCTTGAGTGACAGTATACAATTAAAAGCGTAATAGAGCTGTAATGTTACAGTCCCTGTGCATCTCTGCCTTTTAAATTAATTTGGCTTTTGTATTATTGTTATATTTGTATGCTTTTGTACAAAATGGCATTAAAGTGGACTTTGGTTCTAGTGTTTGTGCATTCATGCTGTGCTTTAATAATCTGAATTCATTAATGCTTTTGGGAGGGGGGGAACCATTCGTACTGTAAATAGCGGTGTCATTTTAATAAAGGATTGTGGGTAACAAACTCTGCCTTAACTTTGGCATTTTTCTTTTCTTTGCAGAAAACTTGGTCACCCATGGGTTGCACCCTTAAGCAAGGACAGGAAAGGATACATTCAAATTGACCAGCAAGAATAGACACTTTTATTCAGATCAAATCACATGGCTTGTGCTTTTAATATGCTTTTGCATGCATTCTTTTCAGGCCATTATATTGAATGCATCCATGTTGGGAAATTCTTCAAATCAAAAGCTCATGCACTAATGGCCTTTTAGCTTCATGTGCTTTCAATGCTTTGCATATTCCTGCTTATGAAAGCTTCAGTTCATGACTGTGATCTGGGTTTCCTGCAAAGATGAAGAAACTGGTTTCAGCCAAATATTTTACGTTTTCATTCAAAGCGATAAACCAGTGCAGCTCTTCCCTCCACTTCCCAATTCAGTTGTTCATTTATCAGCGGAGAAATAAGGTCCTTCATCTACCTGTAAATCATTTCTTTCAGCAGTTATTGATCTATTTTTATGCATTGAATGAGGTGTATAATTGGTATATATTGATACAAATGACTTCAGCTATGGTGTTTGTATATATTAGTACCATATTTCATTCACATGGTCTGGCGAGTTTGAAACCGTTGTCTGTTTGGACTCGACATTAGAATTCAATGGCTTGGTATCCGGTGATCTAGTTTTGGTTGCCACTTTTTTTTTTTAATTAATAAAAGTGTGTCTGGTTCATATTTCCTAAAATACCCCAAAATAAAAAAAAAAGCCATAAAATAGGCTTAATTGTCTTTAAGCAAAATTGTACACTTGCGCAAATATCTGACCAAGCCAATCAAAATTAAGTGAAATTATTATTTTTATTCATTTCTTTTTTTGCGTGTGTCTATATGTATCTGAACAAGCCAATCAAAAATGGTTAATAAATATATGTGGCCAATCAAATAAATGGTTAATATTTTTATTTCATTGCCTTGGGAAGATACTTAAATTATTTAGCCTAATTTTGTTTGGCTTGGCAAGATAAGAAAAAAACAACATTAATTTTGATTGATTAATATTGCTTAATTTTCAATGGATTTGTCAGGTACTTAAATGGTTAAAAAAAAAATTTTTTTGATTGACTTGGATACTCAAAAAAATCTAAAGTTGAGCAAATTTAGTATCTGAACAAGTCGATCCACATGAAGCAAAATTATTTATTTTTTGGTTTGTTTTTTGAGTATCCGACCAGGCCATTCTGAATGTTTCATATTCTATTGAGAACTCAAACTGCAAGTAGTTTGTATCAATTATGTAATCACATTGCGGTTTTAAGGCGAGACGGTATATGGCTGTCATGTTTTATTTCTGAATGCGTTAAACTAGCACTGGAAAACTCCCTACATGTGTATGTCATCTGCTCACAACCACTGCTTCCTGTCTGTCAAACTGATATATGACAGAAATTATCAAATGATGAATTGTTTTTGTATTTACTTTCTGTGCACAACTTTATTATGAAAAGTATTTTTCCTCGAATCTGATTAAACCGTGTACTAAACCGATATAACACAATTACTGCGCTTTTCTTTTGTCATTTCTCATGTCTGGTTCTGTACGAGTTGAATAGGACCGTTGTTAATAAAATTGATCTGATGGTTTGTATCTGCTGTATTTTGTCCTTTAACGATTCGGGTTTGGAAATCTTTGCCGTCTGTGTGCGAGTGTTTTTATGGAGCCTCCTCACACAAGTAGAGGTCAAGAGAGTAGAGAGGAGGTCTGGATCGTCTTATGTGGGCAAAATGACACTGGGGTGCTACATTCCCTTTGTCGAGTTTCTGCACCGCTATTTTGTACAACAAACATTTCTCTTTTCTGTTTGGACTTCAGTGGAGCCACATCTGCCTCTGTTGCAAGGTTGCCAGGTTTTTACAACAAAACCCACCCAATTGCTACTCAAAACTAGCCAAATGGCATATCGGTAAAAAATCGCATTCCAGGGGGGAAAATACATGTTTTTTGGCGAGGTTCCCCTGGTAAAATTTGCATTGCAGGGGCTAAATATTACGCTATTGGGGTCGCTTCAACCCGCGGACATGAATAACAACCCACGGCAACAGCGTTAAATTAGCCCAATTCTGTGGGAAAACCATGGACATGGCAACACTGTTCTGTTGTGAGATTATATAAAAATGCTAATGCTTCTTGAGGTATTTATCGTTCTCTCAATATGGTTTTCAAAACTTTTTGCCAGCAAGGTTTCTGGTTCTCTCTTTTTTTTTTAAATCAAAGAAGTGACACCTTAAACCGCATAAACCCATTTCATTACACCAAATACACAAAATAATGTTCTTTTTAGCAACGTCATATGACCCCTTTAAGGATCTATGGGTTTATTCATCTTCAAAACATCTATGATTAACAATTTATGAACTAAAAAAATAAATGTGAATGGCTCAGTGTAGAAATGTCAAGGTGGCAATCATAAAGAAAAAGTCTCATTAAAAGACTGAAATATTTGAAACATTATCGCAGCGGTGCATTTGTTGCTGCCGTAAACAATCCACGCTTTTGTGGAAATTTCGTACTCACTTACATAGTCCCAGAACAGACAATAACCATTCAACGTTCAAGAAGTCAGTGTACCATCAGAAATATTGTGAAACTGATATTTCAAGGTAAAAATAACTTGCATACAGTTGTTTCAATAATTCTTTTTTACTTTTTGACTTGATGTTTTTAAGAACTTTTTGAAAATAATGTATTTAAAGTATAAAGAATTGTATTACCTTTTACTTGATAATTACACCAAATGACATTTTTAAAGTCATTACATTTAATCTTTTCTTGAAAATGGGCTTAATTTAAAAAAGCTGACATTAAATTTCACACTAAATTAAAAAATATATATTTTTTTTTTTTATTGTCTTTGACATCCTTATTTGTTCCAGAATGTCTTTCCATTATTTTAAATGGTTTAAAAGAATTACATGTCATACTGTTAATAACTACAACACTGCATAAATATTTTAGTCCGAATGGAAGAAATTAATGTTTTTTTTCCTCATTCTGAGGAACCAAATTACTCTGACCATACGCAAGTTTTCTTTTGTCCTCGTAAATTGGCACCTCAGAAATAGTATAATAGCGCTCCTATCTCGCCTCCACAGGCCCATTCCCCAATGTCTCGCCTGTAAATGATTTCCCAATATCAGTCCATCGTCTGTCTCCTGCTTCTCAGAAGTTATACGGCGACACAAAGAGAGTGACTTTTGTGACGTATCGCCCGAGCAGCACCCTTCTTTCCATCTCGCTCATTTCTATATCG